TGTATCGGTTTTTAAAAAGTAATTATTTTCATTGTAAGAAGGTTAATATAGGCAATCGTGATGAAATAAATTTTTATTGTAACACTGCAGTGGTGGTTTTCATCTAATAAATATGTGTTTGCGTATTRCTGATGATAATTCTAAGGACTTATCCCACCTGTACAAACATATTTTGTTAGAAAATACAAATTACTAAATAAATAATCAGTGAGCCACATATTTTTAGTGATTTTTAGGTGTTATCAAAAAATAACATTTGTCTCATATTTATAAGTTAGCTTTATTGTTATACGCCTCATAGTTCATATAGTCTAGACGTGCTGCCGCCTGCCAGATCATACTCATTTTTAWTGAGCTTAAGTATTGTTTTAAAAGATTTTCCTTTAAAGTTCACTGGTGTCATTTAGTTTGACTCGGCAGCACAGGGTTTTCTATTCTATAAATTATAATAATTTTTATATCTACTCTATAGTATAATATAAAATAAATATATAATAGGTGCATAATTATACTATACCTACTATAATAATACTATATTATCATTGACTATGTAAGATGATATTTTTTGAGACCTTTTTTCARTGTGACCTTTGTGCAACATTTTTTTTCTTGTCACCTATTTTTTGGAATTTCATAATCTGAAATTTAGTAATCTCATTTGTTTTTAGCTTTGAACAATCTACCAATTTCACGGTGATGCCTAATAGTGTTTCAAATAATTCGTGTAAGCAACCCAAAATCTCGGTTATTCGGTGAGCCACTACACACCTGATGAATTGGGCCCAATTAGCTATGGCTATACCATGAAACTTTTTCACTGATGGTGTGAAACTTTTCTCACACGACGCAATGATATAAATCATAATAATAATAATCTCATAGGCACGAACGTCATTCTTTAAGTCTCGGAAAGAAAACTTGACGTCCTCCGGAAGTCGGAACACTTGGCGCTGGCTGTCTGACTTAATGCTAGATGGATTTACAAGGAAATACAGCCACTGCGTATTAAATTAAAATTCCTAATAATCTTGGAACATTAAAAGAGTATTTATAAAATTTAAAACTCSATTATCAGATAATAATATAGGTAGATAGCATTTGAGTTGTTTAGTTACAAATTTGTAATAAATCAATAAAAAAATAAAAATACGCCATGCCTGTAAATATTGTTATCTACCTACGTTTTACAAATGTACAACATTTTTGCTATACACAGTTATCTTATAAATATTAAAATGAATTGGCCTATTATCTAACATTAAATTAAGAAAATTATGCTTGTTTTCGCTTTAGTTTTTTACAATATTTTAGCACTTAGTTTTTTGGACTATGATTTGACAGCTCGGCTATATAATATGAAATATTTACATACACGATGTATCATAATATAATATAATGTATTCTTTGGTTCTATTTTTTTTTTTTAATTTCTAATGAATCAAAAATGTGAGTACAATCATCTTGAGTTCTATTATGTTCTATCTAATTTTAAAAGTTTCATTGTCTCATAAGAAAATATAGTTGAACAGTTGAAGTTCAAAACTAAAAGGTTGACACTATAATCATCGGCATCATAGCACACAGGGGCTAGTGTGCCTAGGCTTCCTCTGCAGTACCTGTAGTGTATTATATAAATAAAACCTGATCCACGAAAAATAAATGGCCAAATAAAATTTTAACACARKTTACAGGACTACATACAGTATACAAAAGTAATACTGMACACTATTATATTTAATCCTTAATAGTTGATAAATAAAATATTATCGAGGAGATAAGGACAAGACTTATGTCACAWAAGGTATATTAATAATGAGGAATGAACTTTGTTGACAACTGTTTGTGTTTAAGTGTTGARATATACAAATGCAAAAGTAACAACCGAATATTTCAACTAAAAACGYTTTGCACAAGTAGATATTATATAAATATTCTGAATATTCATTAGGTATAACATAAAACCTAAAAGTGAAAATTGTTTATTGTATCGGCACTAAAAGGTTTCTGGTGTGCAACATTCTCCATGGGACGTCACGCATTTATGTTATATTGTAACATTTTTCATGAGTTAAAGCATTTTCACTGTTTTACTAAGATTCATTAGAGTAGGTTAGTGACCTTTTAAGCCTATTTAATATAGTTGGGAAGGAGAGAAACATTGCCACGTATAGCCAATTTACTGATAAATTATTTTTATGGGAAGAAGAAAAAAACCACGTCAAATCATTTAGAAATTTGTTTGATATAATAATTCTATTGTTGCCARATAGCAATTAATAAAGCTATATAATTGCCTACTGCAGAATATTTAGAATATTTGAGTACTTATCAATAATTATTATGAAATATTAAAGAATTTGAAACTAAAAAAAATTGTATTTTAGATATTAAGGATATATAAGTAAATAATTTATGTAATTACTAATTTATGTATACCTATATTTGGGTTGGATGTTTAATATAACATATCATAAAGATTTAATAATATGACCTTAGGCGTGCGAATCTTTGGTAGTTTACTAGTTTCTTTATATTATGATATTTTATTATTATAATACGTTCTTTGTATAAATAATATTACCTATATTAAAAATAGGCTGATATACCCACCAGTCACCAGGTATATGCTTAAATAGTCAAACCTCACCACCATTTTTTCTGTTGTTATTAAGTGAGGTTATAGGACGTTAGGTTAGATAAAGCTTCAAAGAATAAGTTTAAAAGTAAATCATTGTAAAACATTTGATCAATGCTTATTTATTTTAATAATAATTCACTTACAATAATAAATTAGGTGATTGTTGTAATTATTGTAAATCTTACCCGAATAGTTTATGTAAATAATTAATGTTATAACAATGAACATTTTATTTTTACACGGAATGATTGGCGGTTAATTTGAATATTACTAATTCTTTGGCTTTGTTATACTGAAAGTATTGYGGAAAATTGCAATCTAATAGTTGAACTTGACACCAATTGTTATTTTGTGATAACAAATCAATGAAATATTCGTAACATGGAGCGCAAACTTCCAAATCGACTGAACTGAATACATACCTGATGACAGAAATTGTTTGTTTTAACATTGATTTTAGAAATATAGTAGTAAAATATTGAAATCGTACAATATGAAATAGGTA